GGTGTTGACCGTGAGCTTGGTGGGTTTGTGTGGGGCCCTGTCGGGGGTGAACCTGGTTGGGCTCAGTTCTTTTTAGAGACTGGAACCCACTGTTGACTCAGTTGTTGTCTGTAGATTCCATTGCGGGATTTGGAGATGGTGCGTTTGTGCACCCCGTAATCCGATGTTATACGGCAGCTTATAAAGACACGGTTCTGTGAGCTCTGAGTACCTGGTCGCACCTAGGGCACTGCTTCTTTCACAGAGTGGCCAGTGGACTGAGTGGGAGTCCCAGGCCAGCAAGTTACACCCGTCTACACCCGTCCGCTCGCCTGCACCTCCCCGGACGCCCAGCCCAGCTTTCCCTCCTGGAAGCCTGGCCGCAGGTGCGGCTGGCCAGCAAGCTCCCAGGACTGAGGGAGGGCCGGAGCGGTGTCAGGAACAAAGCACAGAAGCTGGTCCTGTGGCGGCCCAGAGGTCTGGGCCGTGTCCCCAGGGTCTCGTGGGACAGCAGGGGAGCCCCGGCCACCTGTGCCACCTGAGCTCACCGGCCCTGCCCCTCAGGGCTGCACCCAGGCTGCTGGTGCCTGGAACCGTCCCCTCACCCCTTCCCACGCTGGGGCACACCTGGCCGCTCCTCCCCCGGAGGCCTGCCGGTTCCCCTCCATCTGAGCGGACAGTGATGCTCTGCCACCTTGGGAAGCTCCCAGCCTGTCCCTCTCTGCCCGCGGGGTGCCCTGCAGAAGGTCACGGGGGACACCGTAGACACTCACCTTACAGCAGTGGGTTGAGAGGAGGCTCCAGCCAATATTCAGATCTTACTTTCAAAGACTAAGTTGTTCATTACAGTTTGATTCTAGAGGTAAAACCTAAGTCCTGTTTCCCATTTTCCTCGCAGCATCCATTAAGTAGTGATGTTCTGACACCTGCCCTCCCACACGAGGGTCCCGGGTGAGGTGATGGTGCGGGTCCCAGAGACAGGCGGCCAGGCTGTCAGGAGCGCCACGTACAGCCCTCGTCTTCCGTCGAGGAGGGTGACCTCTCTCAGGGCTCCAGGCACAGGGAACTTGGGGCTGGAGACCCACTCGGCACAGCCTGGCTCTCAGCACTGTTTCAGGTCTTGTTAGCTTTGGCAAGTGTTTGAGATGACAGCCTGGAGGGTTCAGACCAGGAAGGTAAAATGAGTGTGTGTTCACATACGTTGACGGTCCCAGCTGCTCCTGCTCACGCCTGGCCGGTGTGCACGTGGCCCCTCCCCATTCACCTCCACACACCACATACACACAGATACACACCGCCCACACACACAGACACACTCACACCCACCTCAACACACACCCAACACAATACCCCCACTATATACACCACACACCCTGACACGACACACACACATGCCCCCACCACACACACCACGCCCACACACCCGACACACCCCACCACACACACACCATACACACCCCCCCACCATACACACACCACACACACCCCCACACATGCCCCCACCACACACACCACACCCACACACCTCAGCATGACACACCCCACCACACACCACACACCACACACCTACACACACACCCCCACCACACACACCCCAACACGAGGGATCATGCTTTTCGTTCTGTTGTGATTGGCTCTGGGACGATGCCACACACCAAGCACAGACTCCAGGGACCCTCTTGGTATTAACTCCCTCTAATGATGATTTTAGCAGGGCTGTTTTTTTAATTTCGTGGGGGATTAGAAATGAAACAGCTCAGCAGTACTTCAAAGCCCAGGGCTGAAGCCCCCACACGCACTTGCTTCAGAACGAGCCGGTGTCTGAGAAAACGTCTGTGGTTTTTATTGAAAAAACATCCTGGCTTTAAAACCCATATCATGACCGTGGTCAAAACTAGTATCCCGCCCAAAGACAAAGTTTATGTGATGAGAACTTCATTAAAATAATTGAAAGCCCGTCTCCCTGGAACGTTGGAGGCACGTGTGGAGGGCCCCGTTGGGCCCTGGGGGTCTCCACGGAGGGGCAGTGGCCTGTGCCTGTGGGGAGACGCCACGTCTGCTGGCCGCGGGGACGGATGCGGGCAGCTGTCCCTGGCTTCCGAGGGGCCCTCTCCCCCTGCCAGCCTAGACTGAGAATGGCCCCTGCCACCCCCGTGGTGTGGCCGTCCGCACAGACGCCGGCGCGCGTCTGAAGCAGAGGCTTTGTGTGAAAGGCGTCACTCTCCGCGTTGCGCTCACCGATTCCGTGACCTCTGTGGCAGCATCCGTCCCGGTGGCACAAAGATATGTGAGAATCTGGGGCTGGTGTCTTAGGTCGAAGGACTTTACCAGCGCTGTAACAGCACGAGTCTGGAGCGGGGTTGGCAAAATGACCCACGGCCAGGTCCCCTGTGTGGTCTTAAGTAAAGTTTTGTTGGGACGCAGCCCCACCAACATGCTCGCCTGCCTTGGAGGCTGCTTTCCTGTGACAAGGGCAGTGTCGAGTGGTAGCAGCAGGACCACATGACCAGAAGGCGGAAATATTTCATTGCCGTCTGGCCCTTGGCAGGAAGCACCTTCCAACCCGTGGTCTGGAGTCACAGGCCATGCTCCTGGGCCCCCGACGGCTGGTCCACGAGGCGCTGACCTGGGTCCTTGGAGCTGCTTTCATCAGCCTGTGGAGAGGCCGTTCTGGGGGGAAGTGTGAATGGGGCACAGCCCCAGAAGGAAGGAAAGGAGAAGCGGGAAGGTTTTGAAAGGCCAGCCTGGTCTCCTGTGACTCGAGTTCCAGAGGGGGGACTCCCGGCTGGTGAAGTGCCAGCTGTGAGGTTGATGTGTTTTGACGACAGACTTCCCGGCACCGGCCTCTCGCCGCAGGGCGGACGGGTCTTTCAGCGCCGGGCGGCACGTGCTCCCTGGAGCTGGGCCGGGCACACCGGCTGCCCCAAGGGCCCTGTGGGTAAGGGCAGCCGGATCTCCCCCTGCATGTGGCTCTCTGGGGTTTTCAGCACTTCCACCGCCTGAAACCAGAGGGATTTGCAACGGGACTGCCATCCAGAACGGTCCCTGGGAAATAGATTCACTCTGTGACCCAGCAGTCCTACTCCTGGGCATATATCCAGGGAGAACTCTAACTCAAAAAGATAGAAGCACCCCCATGTTCATAGCAGATTTACAGTAGCCAAGACATGGAAGCAACCTAAATGTCCATTGACAGATGACTGGATAAAGAAGCTGTGATATATACATGCGATGGAATACTACTCAGCCATAAAAAAGAATAAACTAATGCCACTTGCAGCAACGTGGTTGGAACTGGAGATCGTTATTCTAAGCGAAGTAGGCCAGAAAGAGAAAGAAAAATACCATACGATATTACTTATATGTGGAATCTTAAAAAAAAAGAGAAAGGACATAAATGAACTTATTTCCCAAACAGAGACAGACTCACAGACATAGACAACAAACTTACGGTTGCCAGGGGGAGAAGGGGGTAGAGTGGATAAATTGGGAGTTTGGGATTAACAGATACACACTACTATGTATAAAATAGATAAACAACAAGGTCCTACTGTACAGCACAGGGAGCTACAATTGTTAATGACCTATAATGAAAAAATATGAAAAGGAATATATATATACACATACACACACACATATATAACAGAATCACTATGCTGTACACCAAAAATTAGCATATCATTGTAAACTGACTTTACTTCAACTAAAAAAAAAGAAAAACAGAACGATTCCTGAATAGAATAACGTTTAACCTCGCGCATTTTGTTTCTTTGGCCAAAGTTGTTGCCTTACGGGGTTGACTTCGCTGACTGAAGTGGCGATCCCATTTAGGGAAAGGTGAACGGGAGACGGGGGGCTGTTCAGGGCCAGCTCCGCCCCCCTGTGGCCGTGGCATTCTCCAGAGATTTGCGTGTGCGGAGGGAGGTGACCTCGGATGTGGTTCTCGGGCCTGGGGCCATGGAACAGCCCGTGGGTCCTGCAGCTCTGAGATGCAGGCACAGGGCTTTACAACCACAGCGTGAACCCTGGCCTCCCTCCGCCGGGGATGGAGAGGTGGGCCTGCGGAGGCTGATGGCATGGGCCGCACGCGCCCCTCGCTCCGCCTGCCCTGGAGCCCAGGCCCCGGCGCTGTGACCTGCCTGCCTCGGGCAGGAAGGAGACCGGAGGCCAGGGTGCTTTTCCAAATCAAATAAAGCAAGCTGAGATGACGGGCAAGCGCTCGACTTGCTGTTGTGGCGCGTCTCCCGTCCCACGCGCAGCGTGTTTACAGGACGCGCTGGGCGGGTCGGGCTAAGGATTTCTTCCTGTTCTTCAGGTAGACCCTCCCTTGTTTCCCGAGCGCAGCTTAACTGCTGAAGTTCTCAGCGGGTGCTTATGTTTCTGACCAGTCATTTCTCTTAAATTCAATTATCAGATTTTCTCTTTAAAGATCGTAAGCATCCAGTTTCTTTTTAATTGACCTGATGCACCCCCCCTGGCACGTGAGGGTGTGGGTCGCTCGGTCAGTCCTTGCTGACAGCGTGGCTCTCCCCTTCTCACCCGCACACGGCTCTGCGTCCCTGGTTCTGGGGCAGTGACCGCACCACCTTGAATCAGGGCCGGCCCCTGAACGTGAGCAGAGGATGCACCCAGTCTCCCCCCGCAGGAGGGAGATGGAGGGGCGGGAGGACCCCACGCAGCCTGGCAGCTGGCGCCCCCCCACTGCCCACACGAGGTAGCGTGGCTGGGGCCCTGGAGATTGCAGACCACTTCCAGAATAGGCCAGGACAGCCTCCTGGAACCCCAGCTGTTCTGTGGCTCACACCCAGTCTGTGTCCTGCGCTTGCGTGTGGGTTTGGGTTTTTAAGGTCCCGTAATGTGAGCCTCGATCACACCTGTGTGGTCTTCCTTCCAAGTGCAGCTCCCGTGCAGAGCCACAGCCCCTGACTTTCAGGGGAGACGGAGCAGGTGGGCGACCGTCCGGTCCCCTCCTTGGCTGCATCCTTGGTTGACGCGGTGCCGCCTTCTCCCTCCCTTTGCAGAACCGTGGTCATGCCCATCGCCAACGAGTTTGCCCCGGACGTGGTGCTGGTGTCGTCGGGCTTCGATGCCGTGGAGGGCCACCCCACACCCCTCGGCGGCTACAACCTCTCTGCCAAGTGTAAGTCGGGCTCACGGGTGGCCCAGGAGCACAGTGGGGGCTCCGCTGTGTTTGTGATCGGGTGTCCAGCTTCCCCTCCAGCGGCAGTGGAAGGAGACTGCACTTTACATCTTAGCAAAGACAGGCGCTGGCATCTCCTGAGGACTTGGGGCAAGCAGCAGGACAGCGTAGACCAGGAGGTCATGCCAGTGTGAGGTGTGCAGCCTGCATGCGTGGGGGCCGGGTCCCCAGTCCTCCCAGAGCTGCCGTCCCACACTGGGGTTTTAGCAAACCCTAAAACCCGTGCAGAGGGAAATAGCCAACAGCAGGTTTGCTTCAGAGCTGGAGGCGAGAGGAGGGCCCTTTGCTTCTGCTCGGTCACAGCGAAGCATGAAGGACTGAAAGCCCCTGGCATCCAGGCTCGAGTCCACAGGAAGGCCCAGACGCCCCCAGCCCCCACCCGCCACGCTGCCCAGCGTCCTGGGTGTTGCAGCGGTCCAGGTGCTTGGGACCCTCCCAGCACGTGGCCCTGGTGACTTGTGCGAGGCCCCGGGAGCCCCCTACGTTGGCGTCAGTGCAGACAGCCAAGGAGAGCCTCTCCCCTGTCTTCACGTGGGGAGAACATGGGCTCCTTGGAGGAGAAAGACAGAGACAGAGGGCAGCCTCGGTGCCCCTCTGCTGGGCCACAGGGCTGAGGAAGCCACCGGGCAGAGAGCAGGCGTGTGCGCTGCGCCTCCCTGTCGCCGCCCCGTTCTGAGCTGCTTCAGGTGGTCCCCACGGCCACCTTAGAGCCAGTGCCACTGTCCCATCAGACAGAAAGGACCCCAAGGCTGGAGGAAGTGACGGCCTCGCCGGTGCCCACAGCTGCCAGGGAGCCAAGCCCGCACTGGGCCTGGTCTGCCGACAGCCGGCCTGTGATGGGCCTAATCGGCGTGGCCTGGCTTCCCCGGCTCCCTGATAAACGCCAGGCTGTTCTGGCCGAAGGTGTGATTATCATGCCCCCCCAGGCGCTCCCTGATGGTGGGGGATGGTGTGGGTGCCGTGGGGGGACTGTGGCTGCTGATGAAAACCAGATGCTCCAGACGGGGGCGGGCGAGAGGCCCGAGGGGCAGCCGCGGTGCTGGCATGTGTGAGGGAATGTGCCCGGCACATCAGCTGAGCGGAACCCCCAGGCCCTGGGATGGACGTGGCCCTGCCCAGCAGCTGCAAGGTGGGGGCCCAGCTGCCCTCGGCGGCCCTTCCACCTTCTGGCCTCTGGTCCCAGCAGGAGAGAGCTGAGGGCCCCCCCGGGTCCCTCCCCGCCCCCAAGCAAGATGATCTGCGGTGGTGTACAATCGAAGCTCCAAAGCCGTAATTCCTGCTTCCAAACAGATCAAAAAGAATTCCAAACCGAAATTCTTCCATGGATTTTTTACAATCAAACCCGGCTTCGATTATGTGTCTCCGTGTGCCAGCCCAGGGGTCTCTGATGGGCTGTGATGTGAGGCACTGCGGACGCTTTGATCCGCTGCCAGGCGTCAGCGCCGTGGCCCAGCCTTGCCCTTGACTCGGGTCTCCTGTCTCCCCTGCAGGTTTCGGGTACCTGACGAAGCAGCTGATGGGCCTGGCTGGCGGCCGGGTTGTGCTGGCCCTGGAGGGGGGCCACGACCTCACAGCCATTTGCGACGCCTCGGAAGCGTGCGTGTCCGCGCTGCTGGGGAACGAGGTAGGAGGCGGCGGGCCGCGTGCTGCTCTGCCCAGCTGTCAGCGCGGCGCTCCGCGTTCCCGCCCACCCGCTCCTTAGCGGGGCTCTCCAATGCCCGACAGCACTGCTTGGTCGTGACCCAAAGGAGGTGGGAGGAGGGCAGCCCGAACCCCTTCGTCTTGAAAAGGCGGTTCAGCCTCCTGTGCTTTAAAGGTGGCCACATGTACGTGTGGGTTCTCAGGGTGGCGTCATGACGCCAGCTTGGGGGCTGGGGCCTCGGTTCACAGTAGCTCTCCTGCTGCACTGACCTCGGGTGGTGCCCAGGGCTGGAGCTCAGGGTCTGGGCCGGGGAGGGAACTTCGGAGGGTTCAGAGGAGGGAGAGCCACTAGGTGCTTCCGCGTCCAATGTGCCCTCGGGCCGGGGCTGCTGGTGCTCCCAGCGGAGAGAGCCACCCCAGTGCAGGGGAGACGGGGATGTCCAGCCCACGGAGAACCTAGAGGTCGGGACTGAAAACCAGTTTGTAGGTTCCATCTTGAATTTCCAAAACATGCTCTTCCTGCAACTTTAAATGCAGCCACGGCCTCCAGATACAGGGCCACATACCAACCTTCTGACTCCATCGAAGGAGTGTGGCTGGCTCCCATCCACCCGCAGCATAGCCGTCTCCCATCACGCGCTGTGGCGTCACTGTGTGGGTCCAAGACAAGGGCTTCTGGTGCTCAGGCAGCACAGGCCACGGGCCTGGGGTCGTGGCCCAGCCTGCGGCAAGAGGTGCCGGCCCAAGCTCTCCAGGCACAGGGCCCACGCAGGACGCTCGGAGGGCCAGGCGCTCTGCTCTCGTGCCTTCCTCTGGACTCGCCGCCCCCGACCCCATCAGACGAAGCGGAGCTCCTCTGGGGTCGAGAGGGGTGCGGACCCTCTCCAGCTGGCTCAGGGCTCCCCGGTGTCTAGGGCGGTCCTGTGCTCTCTCTGCTCACCCCTCTGCTGGCCACCCCCGAGAGCTGAGGCACTCTGAGTGACCATGCTGGCACGAGGCTGGAGCACACACAGCTCAGGAGGGACCACAAAAGAGGCCACGCCAGTGTCCAGTCAGGAAGGAGGGGATGGAGGGTGGGGCGGCTGAGGGCTACGGATCTAGGAGGCGCTGGGCTCCCCAACTCCTCCGACTCCTCTGTCAGGAGACACGGGCCAGAAGGCCCAGCAGCCCCATGAAAGGCTGAGTCAGGAGTCCGCCAGGTCTGGCGCCAGGCTGCCTGCTGCCCGGGGGGCACCTGTAAGGCCTGCCTCACATGCCGTGGGGCTTGGAGCCAACAGCGTCTCACCCCAGGCTTTGCCAGGAGTCGCCGCCGAGAGCCAGCCCTGGCCTGACTGCAAGGCTGCCCTCACAGACCCCCAGACAGGGTGCGTGGTTCCATCTGACTGCTCTAACAAGGGGGTGGGAGGCGGTCTGTTGAAAGGTCTCCAGTGATGTGTGCCAGCAGGCTGCTCTTTGACTCGGGCGAACTAGCAGAAGGCTCACTGGGGACAGGACGAGGCATGTGGCCCACGTTCCCCAGGCTCGGGGGCAGAGCTGACAAGGTGGCAGCTGGAGGCAGGTGTGGGGTCTGCGCCAGCGCGGTGCCAGGCGTGTGAGCTGAGGGTCCAGCGCACAATGACCTGGTTTGGGGTTGGATCCCCCAGAACCTCCAAGCGTGGCTTCCATCTGCCAGGGCCCGACGGGAAGGGGCGCCGGGGTCTCTCCCCCTGGGCCCACACGCCCCACTGGGCTGCTCCCTTGTGTGGACCCTGCACGTGCTTCCCAGAGCAGCAGCACCCCAGGGCCCAGCTCAGGGCCTTTCAAGGCCGGGGGCCTAGACCCCCAGCACCGAGGGCGGGAGCAGGGCCAGCGTCCAGGGTGAGGCACTGGCGGTGCGGCCGTTCCCCTGGACGCTCCCCTGGCTCGTGCTCCCTGGCAGGAGTGGGCGCTGGGCCCGGGGGCTGGGCATCAGGATGGCCCCGTTTTCTCCTGACAACCTTTGCTCGTCCTGGACAGCATTCATTTTAACTGAAGTCACAGGTGGATCAAAGGTCCTGGTGGCATCTTGCGTTCCTGGTCAGCTGGTGATAGCCGCACGCGTGAGTGCTCTCCGAGAAGCACCAGTTTGCCTTCGAAGTGTCCAGGGCATTTCACCTCTCCTTCCCTCACGTGGAACAGTCTCCTTCCCTGTTTTGCTAGTAAAAGGCAGCTGATTTATATATTCAAACCGTCCTAGAGCCTTTTGAGTCTTAGAGCCGTTTGCTTTTAACTCACAATCGAGACCTCAGCCTTCAGCGGGGGCCGGGCCTGCTTCCGGGCTGCGTGCTCTTCTGAGGAGAAAACGTCCTTCTACTGAAACACTTCAAAAAGCAGGAAGCACTTGTTTTATCGAGGTCTCTTAAAAATCTTTTTAATGCCAGAAAGTTGGACGGAGCCTCGTCCTCTGCCCCCGGGGCCTTTGATGAGGCTCCTGCCGGGCGCGGGGGGTGGTCTGGCACAGGCGGGCGGCCAGCTGTGGACGGCAGCCCGCAGGGGGCGGGGGGCGGGGGCAC